ACAGCCTAGGTTCTTTCCCAGGAGGCTTCTGGCCCCCATAACGAAATGAGCATTCGCTACTTTAAATTCAACCCTGAAATCATGCAAAACAAAATAATTATTAAGAAACTATAACCTTTTGCGTTGTGATAGACCTTTTTCTATCTTACATATAATTAGCATGCAAATCATCAGGCAATTGCAAAAGCCAGAACTTATGATAAAATTATATAAACAAAATTAACCTTATTTTGGCTTTAGAACACTGAAATAATATTTTTTTAGGGTTCAATGCTATATTTATTCTTAAGCATTTCCTTAAATAAACTTTCTGAAGAATGTTCACTCCTTTTGTTCTGGGTGAGTACAGACCTCCTCAAAATGGACAGAGCCTTCAGAAAAACAGTAGCTAACTGCAAACTGAGCCCTAAATTATGATCCATAGCAATTCCTTTCCACAACCCGCTGATTTCACTGGGCTTCTTAAGAATCACTTGATCTGAGGACCCCATCGGGAAAAGTGAACTTCTTGTAGCTTCAGGAAAACAATTCATTTCTTTGGGGTTAGCAGGGTGCAGTTGGTTTTCTTTTTTCATTTCTGTTAGGGTTTATGTATTTTGGAGCTCTGTCACTGGGTATGTAGATATTTATTGTGGTTATGTCCTCTTGGTGGATTGATCCCTTAATCCTTATATAACATCCTTCTTTGTCTCTTATGATGGAGTTTGATTTAAAGTCTATTTTATCAGAGATTAATATTGCCACTCTTGCTCTTTTTGGTTACTGTTTGCTTGATACATTTTTTTCCATCCTTTTGTTTTTAACCTCTTTATGTCTTTGTGTCTAAGGTGTGTCTCCTGTAGTCAGTACATTGATGGGTCATTTTTTTTTTTTAATCCATTCTGCCACTCTATCTCTTGACTCGTCCATTTAACCCGCTTACATTCAGTGTGATTATCAATAGATATGAATTTACTGCTGTAATTTTGTTATACTTTTTTTTGTGGTGTTGACAGTTTCTTTGTTCTGCTTGGTTTTCTGTGCTGAGTTCTTTTGTTCCTGGATTGTCTTTTCATTTCCTTTGTTTTTGTCAATTTTGTGATTACTGAGTCTTTTCAATTTTATTCCTCTTTATTTTGGTGGGTAGGTTTCTTAATTTTCTTTGTGGTTACTGCGAGGTATACCTTTATCATCCTATATTTAAAACAGTCTGTTATTTTTAGATATCGCCTTGACTTCCTTGCCATCTGGAAGTTCTGTAACTACACCATTCGTTCCCCCTTTTTGTTTTGAAGCTGTCGTCAGTTTCAGATTGACATCTCTGGTTCCATTTTTGGTTCTGTAGCTTTATTTTACTTTTGAGATTTCTCTATTTGGGTTGGCATCTTGGTGATGCTGTTGTGTGGCTTACTTAGGTTGTCTGCTGTTGTGGGTTCTCTATCCAAAAGGCTCCCTTTAATATTTCTTGTAAGGATGGTCTGGTTTTTATAAATTCCCTTAATTTCTGTTCATCTGGGAATGCCCTAATGTTGCCATCATATTTGAGGGGCAGTTTGCTGGGTATATGATTCTTGGTTGCCAATTATTTTCTTTCAGGGTTTTATATACGTAATCCCATTGCTTTCTTGCCTGCATGGTCTCTACCGAGAAATCAGAGCTTAGTCTTATTGGAGTCCCTTTGTAGGTGACATTTCTTCTGGATTTTTAGTTGTTCTTTTGTGTGATTTCTAATTGTTTATTTGTCTTTTTGTTCTTGTATTATTTTCCTGAATTCTTCTAGGGTTTTATCTGTGTTTTCCTTGATCTCTTTAAGGACCCTACATAAAAGCCTTTTGAATTCCTTATCAGGCAGTTCCATTACCATTTCTTGCTCAGGAAGATTTTCTGCCCCTTTGTTTTGGTCATTTGATTGATTCATCTTGTTTCTTTATTTGATTTGATATTGTCTGCTGTCTCTGAGGCAGTTAAGGTGTTGTTTTATTTATTTATGATTTGTTTTGTTTTGACTTATCAGTGTGGGCAAGTCAGGCATGCTTCGGTGATCACTTGTCTGATGACACAGGGGCATTCACTTCCTACCCCTAGTTAGACAGAGCAATGGTGGGCAGGGTGAGCCCTCGTCACTGTTCACTGTACATGTGAGACACCTGAGGGTGTACTCTGTGGGCGCTATCTGGCAGCATGGGAATGCTCACAGTCGCTCACCAGGTGGACAGGCGATGGGCAAGGAGCAAGGTGGACATCCGGGGGTCACACAGGCACTCTCTTCCACGAGGCGGGAGGCTAGGTAGCCAGGGGTTACTAAGGCAGTCTCTCTAGTCGGGCAGGGGGTGGGGCGGGAGGCCGTAGGTCATGCAGACACTCTTCTGCGTCAGGGAGGGGTGGGTTCAGGCAGCTAGGGGGTTGCACAGGCACTTTCTGGTGGGGGAGGGGCAGGGCAGGCAGCTGGGGAGGTGAGGGAGAGAGGAAAGAAAAAGGAAAAATAAAGGAGGGGATTTGTCTAATGCTCCATGTTCACCACCCGCCCTACTGGTCAGGTACCACCACTAGAGAGTTGCCCTATCTCTGAGTCCCAGTTCCCTCCCTGCTCTGTGTACACTGGGATCCCTGAAACTTTCATCCTTCTTCCTGTACTTTCCCTCTTTAGCTCTAGTTCATGTCCTGCTCACCTTGCTTCACTCTGGGTATGTCAACACAGTTTCTCTGTCTCCTACTGGGAGTTCCATGATGTTGTTTTCCTGTGCTTCTCACTCAGGGTCACTGCTGCGCTTGTCTCAAAATGGCCCCACTGTGCCAGGCTGTCTGGCAGGGCACCTCTACTCCATCTCTCTCCCCGTTCACTGCTGTCATTCAGCTTCTTTTTCTGACTGTTGTTTGGTCTGATTCTATATCCTTCCATTTGATGCTCAGGGTTCCAGTGTTGCCATCTGTTTCACTTTGTTTCTCCGGTCTCTGCTGTAGAGAGACGGCATGGTGTATCTAACTAGGCTGCCATCTTGAATCCAGTCCTGCAGTTGGTTTTAAAATGCATTACTATTACTGGTTTTTTTCCAAATGGGAATAACCTTGATATTTTTCTGGTTATAAAGTAATGCACATTATTTGTATTAAAAAAAAAAAAAAAAGATAAGAGCCAAAGTTACAAAGAATCCATTTAAAATCACCTATAAGCCCTCCATCCAAAGGTCACTACTGTTAAGGTATCGGTGTAGATTTTTTTTACAGATTTTTATTCAGATAATTCTTCTAAAATTATATGCTCACTTGCAACATAGCTAAAAATACTTATTTTACAAAAAGATATAATGTGGTTTTTCCTAAATATTCTATTTTTTAAAACTGTTATTTTTATCATTATTATTGTTGCATTATCTTATAAGGGATCAAAAAATGTGTTCCTAAAGCATTATAAAAATGAAACCCGTTGCCACTGAGTCGATTTCAACACATAACAATCCTATAGGACACAGTAGAACTGCCCCATAGGGTTTCCAGGCAGGAATCTTTATGGATGCAGACTGCTACATCTTTCTCTCTTAGAGCAGCTGTTAGGTTCAAACTACACACTTTTTGGTTACCAGCAAAGCACTTAACCACTGTGCCACCAGGGCTCCTTAAAGCATTATAAAATACTCAAAAAATATAAAAAGAAAATCCATGTGAGCTAGCATCACTTTCATTAATCATTAGCAATATTTGTGTCAAAATATCAACAGGGAAAAAATGACTTAAAATTGCATTAAAATGATAGAATTAATTATTTGATATTCACTTAGATCACCAAACCTTTGTAAAGACACCCAAAACATCTTTGCCAGTATTCCTTCTTCCTCTTATTCCCTACTCTCCAACCTTCCTCCCCATCTTTCTTAGCCCTCACCTCACCCTCTCTATTACTGTTGCTGCTAATACCCTGAGTGCTACTAACCCAGTGATTAAAGCTCACAATTATAAAATGCCACTCAGGCAACTTCTAGTAAAAAAATACAAATAGATTTTAGATACAGCCTCTTTCCCTCTGTGTGTGTATTCATAAAATATCTTTGAATGGAATTACAAAGGAATTATATAATATGCATTGCCTCTGAGGAGGGATTTGAGTGGCTAGAGGTTGAGGACACAGAGAAGGAAAAAAAAAAAACCTTTCATTTTATACTATTTATGCTTTATAAATTTTGAACCAAGAGAATGTATTGCCTATTCAAAACATTTTAAAACAAATATATCTACATACACACAAACATATATAAAGTAATCAACTTCCTAGGGCACAGTATGGATAGGGCGCAGTATGGAGTCCCTGGGTGGTGCAGTTAACACATTGACTGCTAACTGATAAATTGGAGGTTCAAGTCCACTCAGAGATGCCTAGGAAGAAAGGCCTGGTGATTTACTTCCAAAAAATCATCCACTGAAAACCCTATGGCATGTAGTTCTACTCTGACACACATGCGGTCACCATGAGTCAGAATCAACTCCACAACAACTGGTAGGGCACAGTATGCGCCTTCAGATTCAACAATTTACTAAGTGCCCAGAGAAATGAAACCACTAACTGTACCAGTGACAACCAATAGATCTGTGTGAATTTTTTTTCAACTGTTCTCTGAAAATAGCTTTAGTTTCCATCCTATAGAAAGGTGTCATGATGGGCTTAAGTACCATGGTTGAATTAGTGACCCTGCAGAAGCATAGCTCTGTCAAACTGTATGTTAGTGTCTGGTCTAAATCACAGACACACACACAGCGGTGTGGTAGAGATTCCACCTGAAACTATTCCTTAGTTTCACTGGGACAGCCACCCTGAGGTGAGAAAAGTGGCAGAAATTCGAATTTTAAACTTGGTCCTTTTGAAACATAAGTTTCCCTGGTTCTTGGTTATGTAAATCATTTTCTGTGTCCTTTTGGTGGCATTTGTATGACAGAGATGATGTTCAAGTTTGAGTATTAATTGTATTGCGCTACACCTGGCTTAAATGTCCTTGATTTTGCCTCACTAATTTTTCACTCATTATTTGCAGGTAGTGAAATCAAAGTTATCCAAAGAATATCACTTTATTAAAATGAAACAATCAAGGAACCATATCGTGGGAAAGTATTTCAGCAATCAAAACAAACTTCAACAACTACAAGACTCTGTAACAAATTTTCAATCTCCATACCATGTCAGAGGTCCAATTAATCAGGTTTGTTCTGAGATCCTTCTCGGCAGGATGTGCGCAAGTAAAAGGACTACATAGATGCCCCGTAGGAGGACTGAATTAGGAGCTGGAGTCAAGACACTCAGCTGGATGCTGGTCTGGAAACCACATCCTGTACATCACGTGTATTTCGGTTTGACTGCGCACACTGATGCACACCATCTCGCACATACACACACACCTACGTACATGCAACTAAAAAAAATGCACTTTTTCCTTTCCACAGCTTTATAAAGTCAAGATATGCACCAGACAATCACTTGGTTTCAGACTGAAAGACAGAGTTAGAAAACAGTTACTTGAAGTATAATCATAGACTAAGACCACCGTGGGCCAGGTATTACATTGTGATAGTAAAGAGAAATCTAGATACTTGAATTGTGTGAAAAAAAAAAGAGGACAATGATCTTAAGTATGTATTATCTCCTCTGTAGGTACATTAATACTGAAAAGAGAAAAAAGCAATTACATTCCATTTGCAAGCAGAGATTGCACTTGTGTCCTTTACCGGAGAAAATGTAGCATTTACAATGGCTTTGGCTTTGTGAATCAAACGCTAATCAAAAACATTTCTTCCTATGCATTTTAAATTTGATTATTGAAAGGAGAAGAATAAGAATGTTTCACAAGGGAATTCAGAGATTCCATGAGAGAAACAGGGAATGAAATATTTTACAGTTAAAACACCAATATATTTGCTTTTGTACTCTCTGTATTTTTCATAAACATTCCCTCCTGTCCAGTCTGTGAATTTGGATGGGTAACTGCAGTGTAAATTGATTAAATGGCATGATTTTAAAGTGAGGAGCAAAATATAGTTCCTCATGTATTACTTTATTATGTTTCATTGATGATATTACTTAAGGTTTTGTTTGTCTTTACAGCCTTATGTAAATTAAGATTACAATTATATTGTATGTAACTATTTTGCAAAGGGATTAGGCCAATTTTCCACAAAGCATTTATCTATGTCATAAATAATACTATGTTACTAGTAACTGTATTTTTATTTTTCAAATTTACATGTAATTTGAGCAATTATATCTAATTCAAATTTAGAGTAGGCATCAAATTATTTCTTACTGAAACTCATTGAAACAAATACCTCAATTCCATTGTTGTTTTTAGGCGCTGTCGAGTAGGTACTGACTCATAGTGACCCTATGAGTGCAGCAAAGCGAAACACGGCCCGGTCCTGCACCATACTCGCAATTGTTCCTGTGCTGGAGCCGATTGTTGCAGGCTCTGTGTCAATCCATTTTATTGAGGGTCTTCATCTTTTTTTTCCACCCTCTCTTTTACCAAGCATGATGTCCTTCTCCAGGGACTGGTCCCTTCTGATAACATGTCCAAAGTACGTGAGACGAAGTCTTGCCATCCTCCCTTCTAAGGGAGCATTCTGGCTGTACTTTTTCCAAGACAGATTTGTGCCTTCTCCTGGCAGTCCATGGTATATTCAATATTCTTCACCAACACCATAATTCAAAGGCATCAACTCTTCATCCAGTCTTCCTTATTCATTGTCCAGCTTTCACATGCGCATGAGGTGATTGAAAATATCAAGGCTTGGGTCAGGCCCACCTTAGTCCTCAAAGAGACATCTTTGCTTTTTAACTCTTGAAAGAGGTCTTTTGCAGCAGATTTGTCCAATGCAATATAACATTTGATTTCTTGACTGCTGCTTCCATGGGCATTGATTGCGGATCCAAGTAAAATGAAATCCTTGACAACTTCAAATTTTCTCTGTTTATCATTTGTTGCTTATTGGTCCTGTTGTGAGGATTTTTGTTTTCTCTGTTAATGTGTAATCCATGCTGAAGGCTGTGGTCTTTGATCTTCATCAGTAAGTGCTTCATGTCCTCTTGGATTTCAGCAGTCAAGGTTGTATCATCTGCATATCACAGGTTGTTAGTGGGTCTTCCTTCAATCCCGATGCCACCATGGGTGACCCTGCTAATATTTGAAATACTGGTGGCATAGCTTCCGGCATCACAGCAACACGCAAGCCACCATAGTACAGCCAACTGACACGAGTGGTAGTCAATTCCGTCACCACACAGAAGATAAAACTATTTTGATTGATCAGTTTCTTAGTAGGAATATCAACCTCCTTTAAATACTCTATTTTTATATATATTTTTATATGAAGACAAATGTGAATTTATATTTAACTGCCTTAAATTATATTTAAACACAAATGTCACTTGGTGTAAACAATACACATTTGCATCTTACAGATGATAGATTTTTTTTAAAAGAATGTCACAAATTAACTACAAATGGAAGATTTTTTTCTAGTATCTGCAGCTATATGTAAGCATCATTTTTAGGTTTTCAATGATCTAAAGAAAAACGATATGAAATGTTGGCAACTTATGCAACCTCTCCATGGTGTTTTAACATGTATACTCTGTAGCAGTATGACATTCAATGGATATTTTATGTCATTTCCTATGTCAAGCTAACTGTAAAAATCTTCTGACTGAGGTTAGTCTGGTATTTACCTCTTCACTGTTGAAGTAATAGTGGATTTTTGAAACAATTGTAATAGTATTATGAATAAATGTCTTACTAATGTCTGTGTTCAGAGAGCATCTTTTATTTCCTGTTTTACTGGAGGTACCCAACCATACAAACAGTAATCACTTGGCAGGGATGTTACCATGTGGATTCAAGTATTGGAGCACAGTTAAACAGGATTTACTACATAGTTTCATCCAATCCTGATAGTCTCTGAGTTTATGATCAGAGGTACTTCCTGCTGTACAGTGAACAAAGCTTTTGAATATAGTATAGTGATAAGTTTTTTGTTTTATTTCATTTTGTTTTTTAAGATAAGGCACTGAAATGGGGGGGATCATTTTAATTATTCCTTAATTGAAGAATCTACTTTTTTTTTTGTTAACTTGGGGAAATAGGTGTTTTGTGTGTGTGTGTGTGTTAGCAAGCTCATAATATGAGTGGAAAAAAATTGAAGTGTGTATTTTTACATGTTTTTAGATGTTAGGGCAAAGAGAGTGTAGTATTACAAGTAAGAATTGATTAGTATCCAATCTAAACTAAACATAATATTAAAATTAATAATAACTGCATAAATATTTCCAGGCATCACTGTCGACATTTTGTGTGCCTATGTGTCTGCCTGTGTGTGTGTCTATCTGTTTTTAAAGGTACAGTGCATTATTTGCCAGCCATCCAAATAGGCAAGTAAGATCCCCTGGGAAATATGAGAGGGCAATGGTGGTTCAATTGCAGAATTCTTGACAATGCACCTCATGAGCAGACACCACTGTCTGTCAGTGGAGGCTTGCATATTACTATGATACTGAACAGCTTCCAGACTAAGAAAGACTAGAAGAAAGCCATGTCAATCTACTTCTGAAAATCAGCCAATGAAAACCCCTTGGATCCCAAAGTTCCAATCCATCATGGGGATGGCCCAGGACCATTCTGTTGTACATGAGGTTGCCATGAGTAGCGGGCCGATGCGACAACAGCTAAAATCAACAACAACGTGGGCAAATGAGAAAGAAGAGCTCACCATTGCCTGCTGATCAGGTTTACATTTGGGTCATTTAATCTTCCTCCTGTACATTGCTCACGTGCCTAGCAGTCTTCTCTACAGAATAGTGGTTCCCACTTAGAAAGCATTGGAATAAAAACATATATATATTTTGGAGATAGAAATAGCTCTGGTAATGTTTGTGGGGAAGAAATACTGCTATTCTTCATTAAAAAAAAATTCTTAAGTTCTATTTCACTGAAGGATTCCAAGGAGAAATATAGAAACAGATCAAAAAGTATATAAACCAATAAGAGTTATTTCAAAGCGGTAATACTTTGTGGGGGGTGGCTAATTTGGTTATCAGGTTAAGTGCCTGGATAGATAATCAGGATTAGAATCTTATTCAATATTATCATAAGGGCTTCTTAAATCAAGCAAATACTGAAACAATCATTAGTACCTAAGATTTCTCTCTGTGAATTTTTATCTTACAAAAACAAGACAAATTTTAAAAATCATTAAAATTAGTGGCTAGGATTATTGTATTTAAAACAAGAAAACATCACTTTCAGTCAGTTGCTATGAGCTGATTGCTTCAAAAATATGTATCCAAGTACAAAACAATACCACCACAGAGTCTACCATTGTGAATGGATCAAGGAGTAATTGCTCTGCAAATGCTACTGTAGTTTTATTGTTTGTTTGTTTTTTAATCTATATTTAAAGTTCAAGTGGTTTTGATTGCCCTTAGAAACTAAGGCATTTTGATGGATCACTTCAGCTTAAGGGGATGGACCAGAAGTTGTCAGAAACCCCCAAAGATCTACTAAAGACTGCAGGATGCTGCCAGCGCCTCAGAACTAGATTTTGTACTTGGCACGGCTTCCAAGGTTCCATACTGTCAAAGAGCCTTTTATCATGTTTTTATTGCTGCAGTAACTGCTATTATCAACTTCCATATTTTGTTTGTGATTCATTCACTTGGTGTAGGGGGCCTGTAGAACTCATTTTTTTCTAACTGATGTTGACCATGCAGTCCTCCTAAAATGGTGCTCCATTTGTTTTCTTTATGATTGCTGAAATATAAAGAATTTGTTTTATGGCTCTATTAAATGTCACATTGCTATGCTTTAACACACTCAATACATAATCAACATACTAATTCTTAAAGCTTATCGAGAGTAGCTACCTGAAACTCTATTTGTAGTGTAATTGAAGATAATTACTTAAACCCGACTAATAGCAAAAACAAAATAAAAAACACCCACATTTAGAGAAAACACTACAAAAAGTTTCCTACAGGGTGGTCATATTTAGGTAGACTAGGTTTTGAATTTGATTAATGCTGACTGGCATTTTCTCCCAAGTCTGTGGCACTCTCTGCGAAGAACTGTTTTCATTTAACTTTTAAAAGTCTTTTTTCTAACCCTTTGTGTAATATATCTGGGGGGAAATAATGCATTTTAGATGAGGTTATGAATAGACATTTAATATCTCTAACCAAGATATTTTCTTGGGAAATTTATGTATAGCATCACATTATTCTTTTTTATTACATGAAAAAGTAATTGCTATTAAATCCATAAAAATATTTGGATATTTTAAAAAGCAAAGTAATTACAATTGATTATTAGTACATCAGAATTCAGAAGTAAAATGGTTCCATAAATATAAAATGTAGTCAATGGATTCTCAACAAGGCAGTGGCTTATTTTATGGTTGGCTGGTGAAGTGCATCAATTTGATGCAGATTTAGTGCTAGGCTAAAGGAGTTAATGGGATGGTATGTATTTATTTACATATTTTGTTGAATTGTATTTTTATTTTATTTTTTGACAATGAAATCTGCTTTAAAACTCTAGATTGAAATCTCCATGTATACCATCAAGGTCAACATTTTAATTTTATTTACAGTCTTAAATTTAACTTTTTATTCTATCTATAATTTACATGCTTCTATAATTAAATCATGCATTTGAATATTAGGACAAAATTTAAGAACATTAAAATAAAACTGGCATATATTTTATTTTCAATCATGTACCCACTAATGTAGATATAAGGTTATCTGGTTTCCAGTAGATCTTCTTACATTAAGGCTAAAGATCTAGGATTCAGCACTCTTCCTGACTTCCCTTTTCAGTAAGTATTGATATAAAAAAGGAGCCCTGGTTGCACAGTGGTTAAAGCAATTGACTACTAACTGAAAGGCTGTTCAAAACCACCAGGGGCTCCGCGGGAAAAGGATGTGGCAGTCTGCTTCCATAGAGATTTACAGCCTTGGAAACCCTATGGGGTCGCTAGGAGTTGGAATCGACTCAATGCCAGTGGCTTTGTTGACATAAAAAGATGGTACAAAATGCCAAAATTGAATCAAATGTAGCTTAGTTTAGTCCAGGGTCTATCACAATCAGAACAGGGTTGAAAGGGAGACTACAGCATAAACTTTTACTCCAAGAGTGAGACTCCTCCCCAACTGGGTTCTGGGGTGGATAAAAATGATAACCACCCTTTCCAGATCTTGGACATTTCTTCAAATCTCTTCCTGGTATACAAGTCATTTTGGAGGGTCTCATACCCAAAGAAAAAGTAAATAATAATTTAAAAACTTTATTGGGCCCAAATGATAACCCAGATTAACCAAACAGCATCTGAATGTGAGTTTAATGATAGCTTCTTATTTATAATCAAGAAAAACAGAAAATGTCCTCTAAGCATCAGTATAGAATACCCTTTGGAGAACCTGAAATAGCAATCCATTTTTTACTACATTTATATTTCAGTCATAGAATTATT